TCTTTTACTCAAGAAAGAAAGCACAGGCTCTGAAATGTACTTAAGTACAAAAATAAAAATTAATTTTTAAGTTCAATGATACATGATGCCCGTTTTGTGGCTTCCTGGCTTTGCTTGTCCATTCTGGATTTTTCACTGTGGTCACCTGTGTGCTGTCGAGTCACCCAACGACGGCAGTATCTGCTCATAAAGATCTGTCATGTGGAGTTCCTGGAAGGCTGCATTCAGCTCTGGTAACATCTTGTAATCCTTCACCTCAAATCTCTGGAGACTGGAAGAAACACATGGAGAGACAGAGATCTTAAGTGCTGTAGTAACATCACTATGTGATGATCCAACACGAGTTATAATTTCTGCCCTTCTTCCATTTCTCTGCTGCATCAGTGTCATGTGAACCGTCCGTACCCGTGTTCATAGGAGCAAGACAAAGGGGTTTCAACGAGAACCTTCATCATCCTCTCCTTGCATTTCTTGCCTGAAGAATCCACATCCACCTTTACTGTCTTCAACAGGTGACAAAACTCCTGAGGAGACAAATGACTGGTCATAACAGTCAGTGAACAGAGCGGAGGGAGTCACTCTGACCCCAAAACATTGAAAAGTTCTAACATTCAGTCTAACAGTAGTTAAGTATTACATTTGGGATATTTAGTCAAGTAGGAACTGAAGTCTAAAGTAACGAAGTACGACACACATTATCTCAAGTCACTTTACATAGTAAGGTTGAGTATTGGAGGAAGTTCTCAAAAGTAAAAATAGACAAAAATGTACCCAAGTAAAAATAAAAGTAACACATTAACTTTTTGAGTAAAAGTAAGTACTTGCTTTTAATTATACTTTAAGTATTAAAAGTAAAATCACTAGCCAAGATTAGCCTAATCCCTAATGCAGTCACATACATCATCAACTGCTCAGTCACGTGCAGCATCTATTGCACTTGTGTCCGTCCTGGGAGAGGGATCCCTCACATGTGGCTCTCTCTGAGGTTTCTACGTTCTTTTCTCTGTAAATTGGGTTTCTTGCTCATTCTTCTTCTCTTGTTGAGGGTTAAGGGCAGAGGATGTTGCACCTTGTTGAGCCCTATGAGAAGTTGTACTCTGTGATTTTGGACTATACCTATAACATTTGATTGATTGATGGAGTAATGTGTAAGAAAAAGAAACTATTTTATTCAGAAGACAGTGACAACACACGATTATGTCAATTGGAAGGCACAAAAATGAATGAAGAGCCAGTGTGAACATACACAAGGACCATGCTGGACTCCTTTGTATTTTCTTGGCCCCTGTCAAATCTGGTCAGTGACTACACATACAGCTGCATGTCATCATTTTGAATGGTGCACAATACAATCGCTCTCAGAAATATAAATATTATTTCACCAGTGAGGATATCTATTTGACTTTTCCTCTCACTGATGCTTACTGTATGTTCTCCAGTACATAATTCATCTTTAAACTGTTAAGAAAGATATACAGTAATAGAAATCTTAGACTTTGTGCAATGCAGTGTTAAATGTGGGTTTGTACCTTGATGCCAGGTCTGGTTCCCTGCAGAATAACCAGTATATGTCGCCCTAGTAATAAAATCACAGTCAGCTGCAGCTGCTGGCTCCAGCGCTCCAGGAGCCCGATGTAACGATTTCTCGATCGGATGTGGTCCAATGACAGCACTGCAGTCCAACTCTCTGTCCCCTCCTCTTCACCTCTACTCTGCTCCTCTTTCACCTCCACACACTGCTATTGTAACAAAGCACATATAGGGAACATTATTTTTCACGACTGTAAGGCCTGCTTTGTTTTTATCTTTTTATTCAAGTCAGTGTTATTTTTTGGTAGAATATTGAAGTGAAAATGTTCTTCAATACATGTTGTCATCAAGTCCCAAAGCTCATCCAAAGACTCTGCCTTCAGAGAGCACCACCCCTCAATTTCTTTCTTTAAATATTATGATACGGGCATGTTAAAGGGATAGTTCACCCCAAAAATCCACTCATTATCTACTCGCCACTATACCGATGGAGGGTGGGTGAAGTGTTTGAGTGCACAAAACACTTTAGGAGTCTCAGGGGTAAACAATATTGCAGCCAACTGAAACAAAATCAATTCTTCCAATGTAAAAACACAACTGAAGAATGAATAAAATGCCTCTATACTGCTCCTGTGATGTCACCCAGAGGTCTGTAAGCCCCCGACTTCAAATCCAACTCGAAACAAGGTAATGGGGGAGCAGCATGACACTATTCCAGACATAATTGAGACTTGGAAATTATGTGAATGATTAGTCAAACTTTATTATGAAGAAAAATCTGAAGTTTAAGCAACAGAACAACAGACTGTTGAAAAAGTACTTGATTCCATAAACTAAGTACACTTCACGATGACCGATCATGACCATGCCCTAGGAAATACCATATTTTCACTGTTGCCAATTTTACCATTCAGATTTTAAAATGTACACTTATGTGTACACTATTGCCTATTACTTGTCTTATTACTTGTGTTTTATGAATTCTTACTCATTTGTTTAATTTATTCAACCGTCATGTTTAATGTTAAGAATTTTGTATCATCTGTTTGATTTCTAGTGATAGGTATTACTCAGGTCACACATATATCGCATTGATATTTCCCCCTCCAACTTTGTTTATACAGTAATAGAAAGATTGTAAGAACATAATAAAAACGGCCGTGTGTGAAATAAATATGCAAATGAAAATTCCATTATGGAAAGTCTCAATTTTCTCATAGTAATAATTTCATGGATTGTATTTATTACTTCATGTAGTTCAATTCATTTTCTGTATTTCCATAAATTAGTTAGTTAATTAATAACTCCTTATTTCCTTCTTGAGTTCAAGGACTGTACAAATGTGACTTCCCATTTACAGTAAGCTCACTTTTCATTTAAAATCACTCTTGATGACATGCTCGTAACGTAATGTTTGGAGAAAATGCGCACCGCTAAATGACTGGAGACTGAATTGACCGCAGAATAAGTTGAGCTGGATACCTGGAACCACTCTACGAGCTGGTGAACCATTGGCTCTGGTGGTAAAGCTGCAGCTTGGTCCAGTAGCTTCTGTCTGATGTTGTGACACTGGGTCCTGGAGAGAGCGGTGGAGGAGACAGAGATGTCGGGGGGACAGGAGGGGTAAGACGAGTGCAGATGGAACAACAGTCTCGTGTCTCTGCCCGATCCCAGGGCAGTGCTGTTAATTTGGACAAGGAGTCCATCCTGAGCTACAGGGAAACAGAGTCATGTTGTAGCAGTGGGACAGCACATACACACACAGTTGAGTTTAATGTCCCTTACTAGTGTTGTCTTGCTTCACAGTCAAGTGTCACGTTTCAGGTTTAATATGTCATATGCAAGTTAACACAGGCTCAACAGTGCAATGAAAGGTGTTGGACAAGAAGAACCCTATCTCAGCAGTGCAATAGTTACATTTAAATAAAAGCCACGTAGACAGAGCTTACTATAAAAAAAAAGTCTAATATAATACAGTACAAAACTAAAACTATGGGACATTCACTGCAAATGAAGTGACAACTTTAACAGTAGAGAGAGTGTGTGTGTAACAGTTGTGATCCACATCAGTCCACAGATGTGCAGAGGCAGTCTGCGTGACTAAGCCTGGTGTGTAGCCTGTGCTCACTGACCAGACTGCTGCAAGAGCTGGAACTCTCCTTCTCCGCAGTAAATGGACGACAAGACCGAAACCTCCTCCAGGGCAGCTTCACTCATGATTCACGAGTCAACACCATCAGCACCGACATACCCCCGCTGTCTCTGCAGCTTCACTCCCGTCCACTCTGCAGATCCGCCGGATGTTATTGTGCGGCACTTGTGCGCTTCTCAGTCGTCCGGGTAGTGTCGCATTTAGAGATAATCTGTTCCGCAGCACTGCAATATTGTTTCCTCCTCTGTCTGTGTTATAAAAGATTATAACTGGTCAACATAAGTCTTCAGTCGTCCTTTTAAATTCAATTTTAAGCGAATAAAATACATAACAAACAGAACACACTCAGGTGGTTTAGTTAATCAGACAAAATGTTGAATATTTCATCCATTTTCAGATTGTTCTATTCTGTTGAATATTTCTAAAAAACACTACCAATTTTTTTGGTAGTGGTTTTTAAATCTGTTTTAAATCTGTGAGTGGATCTGTATTAGAATTTATTCAGGGCTTCTTGGAGGCTGGTAAACCAGTTTGCAGGTGCATGACCACCATTGACTAAAGGAATCTTAGTCTGGATCATTGTGCAGCAAAAGAAAACACTGTTTTTCCCCAGGACACCAAAAAATGAAAGTGTTTTCTTCCCTTGGTGACTGAAAAATGTGACATCTCTTATTTCTGTATTTTCTTTACGGGTGAAGTAGAACATGCTTGACTGTTTCTGCTAAATGAGCCCTGTAAATTATTCTCAGACTGGTGATGATATGTTCCTCCTGTTGTTTCCTGCACTCCACTCTCACAGAGCAACACGTCTTGTATATTAAATAAATGTCTCCAATCCAAATGCTCCTCCCATGCTGACGGGACATACTATGAGTACAAATGAATGTCTTAGCTTCAGCTCTTCTTAATGGCACTTGCAGGTTTACTCTCAGTTCAGTTCATAGTTTCCTTACCTGGCATCACTGAACCCAACAAAAATGTCCCAATATATATCTCCTAAAAAAGCAGCAGTGTGCAGCATATTCTCATTGTCATTCTGTCAGCTGCAGCAGGCAGGGTCAAGCACACTTGAGAGCAAATAAAAACTAGACATAAAAAACATAATAAGTAATACGTATGTAGGCTGATATTCACATCTTTTAATCAGTCAATCAATCAATCAATCCAAATTGTATTTATATAGCCCATATTCACAAATTACAATTTCTCTCATAGAGCTTTAACAAGGTATGAACTCCTCTGCCCTTAACCCTCAACAAGAGTTAGGAAAAATTACAACAGGTACGAGGTCTTAGTTTTAGGATGATTAGCTTAAGAAAGCACAATGAAATGGCTTTGATATTGCTTGCAGTCATCAGAGGACAAAAAGACCAGAAGAAGACAGTGGGGGTCCCTCTTACACAGGAGTACACACCTGCCGAGGAGCTAGACATGAGCAATGAAGGTTTCCCCTTAGTGGATAGGGTGGGAGGTGTTTTTTATCAGAATGGTGGAAGTGGCAGTTCCTAACAGACCTTATTTGTACATGGTGTACGTCACTAAGTGTTAAACTACTGTATTGGTAATAAAACACAATGGTATAATATACTAATCCTTGAAGGGATAATTAACATGTATCTGTTTTCTCTTGTAGATGAGACACTGGAGTTGCTGCAACCACCCATTTATGAATATCCCATACAGAGGAAAGACTGAAAGCAGCCCATCATTGTGGCTGATAAAGGATGAGCCCATTTACATGACTCAGTCAGAGAGAGCTTTGGTGTTAGACACTGGTCTTGAATTGCTCTCTCTATGATTAAGTTGCTTTCACTGCTATGTTGTTAACTATGTGGTTAACTCACAGCAGGAACAACACAACCCGAAACTAACACATGCAAACAAATAGAGGGCAATATAATTTCTTAAAGGTACAGTGTGTAGAATTTAGTGATATCGAGTGTTGAAGTTACATGTTGTAGCTGAACACCTCTCACCTCAACCTCTCCTTCCAAACATGAAAGAGAACCTGTGGTAGCTTCAGTTGTCATAAAAACTCAAAAGGTGTTTAGTTTGTCCAGACTGGACTAATGTAAAAAACATGGTCATAAAAAAAACATCCCCTCCATGTAAATATAAAGTATTTAAATATAACGGGCCTTTTCTGGGCTAAAGAAAACTACAATTTAGATGAAGTGAACTAGTGAAAACATCATGAGGATTATTCTCGATTAAATTTCTTCCAATAGATCTCTTTCACCTAAATCTTACACACTGGACCTTTAACAAGTGATCCACTCACTGGCAGCACCAGGAAGCTCTATGTATTGTTTATTCCTTTCAAGTTACCATGTTAATGTAACAATCCCATCCTAATTTTTATTTCATCCTGTGAGTAATTGATGTTTATTGTAGCCCATTGAAAACCCATTTTCATAGGAGGTGCGATTCTATTTTTGACAGGAAACTTTTTTTGCATTGTAGCCATACTGCATCGAGTT